AGCATATCACTGGAACCTGGTAGGTGCAGCTATGTTCATATTTTTGACCAATCAGTTGTAACTCGAGTTCCTATAACATTAAGCTATAGTCTCAGTTTTCTGCACTCAACTTAATCGCATCTTGAATAGTTTGCAAATTACTTTCTGTTCTGGGGAGTCGAGTAACATCATTTCACTCTTGAATTTAGACATATATTTACTGTCTCCCCTTACTGTTTAGGATTAGTCATAATACAGGAGAACAGATGTATTGTTAATATTGTACTTCAAAAGTTTATGCACTCGATAAAGTGAATCGTCAATTCTTTCTTCATTCAATGTTATAATATTTTATTATGATTTGTTTGACAATTGTTCTAGTAACATATTTAAGTGGATGATAAAATTATTTTCAATTTAGTAATTAAATAGCTGTTATCCACCAACATATTGAGGCGTCGTGAGTCGTGAGTTTAGTTTAATCGGTTTACAGGTTTGTTTCTTTCTCTAATTTCCTAATTTTAGGAAGTCAGTATATTTATATCTAACCGTCTTACACGAATATATACTTTGATAACTAAGTTTCATATTTGAAGGTAATAATCCGTTGATGTCTGGGGGTGGAAATTTCTAAGAAAAAATATTTGTCAGCCTTTTCATATGATTCTGGTTAGGTGTCGCAAAATAATCGTAATCCACGTTTGAAGATCTTAAGTGATACGACTTAATTAAGGTTAATGAATTCTTTCTTCATATTGTGAGCCTTTAATGTTGATATATATATATATATATATATATATATATATATATATATATATATATTTTTTTTTTTTTTTTTTTTTTTTTTTTTTCATACTTCTTATTTACTTATTTCGTTCGTTCCTTCTGAGCCGTGTATATTATGTTAAGTTTTTCTGCTGTCATTGATATAACCATTGTTTCAGCTTCATTCGATTACCTATTGTTTCTGTCCTGATGCGAAATGTAATGAATTTGCCAGAATACATGTTGTTCATTGTTTGAATGTAATAATTACATTATGAAAATGAGGCATATATTTTTAAGGTATTCCATATCTCTTTGTACTTGTTTGTCAATTACACACTTTTTCAATAGCTCATAATTGCATAATAATTTGTTTACCCATCTTGTTTTACGTTTTCTGTTCCTGTTTGTTTACATGCCGGTTGCAGTGAATAATAAACAATGAAGGAGGATGGGAGACAGAAGAAAGCATGACATATATACGACATACAAAAATAGATTACATTGACGTCGTTTTAATCCAATTTGTTGTGTTTTTCTGAGTTTATTTCTTTTTATTTTCTACTGCTTCCGCCTATTAAATAGAACTTATCTAGACTATGTTCAATTTTCCTTTCATTTAGTTTTGCTGTTCCTATTCTCGCGTCGTTAAATTTTTGTGAATAGGTAAAAAAAACCCAGACTGTCTGAAAAGTACACTTGTGTTTTTCACTTATCGAAAGTCACTAATTGATTTACAGCGTTGACTGTTATTATTATTATTATTATTATTATTATTATTATTTTATTGCCACTCACACCTAGCTATTGATCGTTCGGCTTTGATCAACAGCTGGTTATAATTTGCATGGTTCACCGATAATGCTTCTAACCTCATAGTAAAAAAGAAGGCATTTTAACCCCAAGGCGATATTTTCTCTAAGATCACCCAATCTATTTCAATTTAGCAGATGATGTGTACATAGTACTCGTAGACGCAGTGTTATATAAGCTGTTTAGATAATAATACGAGGATGTTCGAGATGTATTTATCACCTTCTAGATTGTTTTATATCTAGTTTTTATTCGATTTGATGTCAGATAGGTAAGTGGTTCAGGGCGTTTACCACTTCATGCACATTATGAACTTTTTTCACCCTTGACTGATATATCATTGATGTAGTCTTGGCGCTGAAACATAAGGATCATTTAACCTGTATCGTTCAACACTGCTATTGGCTCAGGTGAATCTGTTATATTACGCATTCAAGAACCAGTGTGCTGCACTGTTTGTGCAACACGGCTACAGGTATTCAGTTTGAAAATATTGCTCACACTTTCTCGAACCATTATTTGAAGGGGGTGCAGCGATGGTTGATAAATGAGATAAAGCCCTTTCTGATGTGATAGACCTTCATCTGTCTAGTTGTCTGTACATGAATTCCAGATATTCCCCCTTCATCCATTTAAACGTTTTACGATAGCTAGCTTTGGATTTTTTTGGAGAAAACCAAGTTTTGTGCACTAAGTCATACTATCAGTATATGAAATGATTGAATTTTGCTGTATACTATTTCAAAGGCAATATGTTTACTGGTAGGAGTCTGTTAGGTAAATGAAATCGATTGTTAAAGACTTTAATATCAATAAGGTTGATCACAGGGAGAAAGTGGTTAACCTAAAATGGTTCTCAGGTGATTGAACAGTTTTATTAATTTGATGGAGTTTTAAATTTCTGAAGATATGATCGGAGCATTTAACTACGTGGTCAAAGTACCGAAGATTTGATTTTATCATCCGTCAGTCACAGAATCGAATTAATCAATCCAAAAAATAGTAGAACCACTCTCATTTATATAACTAAGGTATGTTGGCAGTAGTAACGTGCCACAGATCTAGCTATTCGCTCTCATTTATCAGTTTTGATGAATGAGTTTCTGGTGCATAAATGACTCACATAAGACCACACCTAAACTTGCAGTATTCATTTAATAAGTTGATACTATATATTTGTTTGATTGACCTTGAATCTATACTAGGCCAGTGGGGCGAATAAGTAGACTCATGTCCATTAAAATATTTACTATGTTATTTTCTAAAAGGGATTGTTGATGCCATTGTTTTGCTTTTTGTTTTGGGTGGGCAAACAATGATGACATAGTGATTAGTCTCATAAGTGAAGCGTGTTATTACTACCAATAGTAGCAATAATTTTTTATTGTTCACGTTATCTTGTTGTTAATATTTTTGGCTGAATTTTGATCAGTCTTAATTGGAATAAGTGTATCGTGTGTCGATTACTTCAATATATCTATTATGCCGCATTTTTCAGCAGAATGGATGGAATGTGGTGAATAGACTGGAATCAAGGACGTACGTTTCATCCTACTTCGAACTTGTTAGTCGTACGCACATGTAAAAATCTATAAAAACTTGCAACAGTTCACATAGGGTGTACGTATTTCAACTAAGATTGATCAAAATTCAGTCAAAAATATCAACAGCTAGATAACCTCAAACCATTACATGTTTAATCATAATTTATCCCCGTTACATAAATAAGTGGTTATCTGGATTCAGTAGCTAAGTAAATGATGCGTTTTTCGTTTGAAGTGCGAGGTATTGGTTTTAAATTCCGATGTGTATATAAGTTCAGGTATGGAGGTCTATCCATTTGATGAGTTTCAAATAGGACGACACGGTCGTGCTTGTTTCCACCGCTAGCCACATTTTAACCATTCTGTAAAGGTACATATAACTCAGTAAATGAAATAATACTAGCACCCTATTCTCGGCAAAGTTTTGTAATTCATTTGTTGGAATGTTATGCCCATAACTTAGAAAGCTCTAGCTGTTTCATATGCGTATAAAACGGTATGTTAATCAAGGCTAGTCTTAGATAATTATAGTGACTGATAAGCTTAACACCGTACTTTTAAAATAAATTCTTTAAATCTAATCTCTGATTAATCATTCTGTTTTTTTTTTGTTGTGTAATTCATATCTAAAAAAGCCATTCAATAGTGTCTTATTGTGTGTTAGTGAGGTTATAGCTTAATTTATTGCTAACCATGTCTTACTGAGCTTTTTTATTTATGTGTGGTTATCGGTGTTTATCTGCTTATACTTCGTACTAAGCAGGAAGGTCGCTATTCTAAACGTGATTCACTGTTTTATTTTATCGGTTTTGTTTATTGTGAATAGATTCTCGAATCTTGTTTTTTTCCAGGCTACGATTTGTGGATAAGAAATTCTAATCTCTCAATTGTTTCTACCATTAATGTTTTTTGTATTGATTATTAGCTCAGCCATCATTTTCATGTTTGTGTATACGACTCTGAACGCCATATCATATTTTAAGGGTTAGTATTATTGCAAAACTACCCAGATTAAATTTGTTGGTGTAAGACTTACATATGGAACCAAGTGGTTGAAAATAGAGTACTTTAGTAATTAGTTCATTGACCTATACTCATTCGTGCGTTGACTACACGTGTTGTTCATTATTATTCGCCTTCATATCTTTACAAGAATTTTCATACTATGTCAGACAAACTAGGAAATTAAATATTTTATCCAACCTCTCGGTTCTCACTCATTAAGGTATACTGTGAAATTCTGTTCAGTATGGAAGTTTCATCTTGAAATAATTTATGAGTTTATGCTTCTGTAAGCAAAACATAATATATGTTCAGTATTTCACTTGTTTGTTTGGAAATTTTTCAGTTGTTATCAATCTTAAACAAAAACTATCTTTAGATGCTCAAATTTTTCAGTGAAGTCTACTTTAAAAAAATTTGTTTTATGTTCGACTTTGATGTCCGTTGAGGAACCATTAAAAACTTTGAAGCACTAGACAATTAATCTATTCTAGTCTGGTATTTCTCATCAGTGCACATCTAAGACCTCATATTGGATTTTTAAGTCTTGTTGCACACACAATCCATTTAGACCATTGCGTTGAAACCTAATGATCCACATTTCTTGTAACCCCAAACAATTTATGATAGAACGCAATGATTATCCAATGTAGTTAGTTAGTTACAACTACCTATTAAATTAAAAAAGTGCGATAATTTGGGTCCAGTCATAATGAGTTCAAAGAGTATTTATGTTCTTATTAAAAGTTACATTATTATTATTATTATTATTATTATTATCACTTGTTATTATTAATAAATACCCGGATAAAGAAGTAACACTAATTCTACGTGAATAATTTCCCAATCATAGCCTTATCGTAACTTTTATCCATTGTCTCTTGATTTCCATCACAGCTTGGATGTTTTGAATGGCATTCACGCGGACCATTTCGTCAAACTGATATAGGATCGTCTAATCGTTTAAATTCTATCAATCCTACCGGTTCACATCATTGCATTGTACACAATGAAGAAGATTTCACATACATATGTCAAGAACCATCTAAAGGAAGGCTTAGATCTGGTGCTGACAGTCTTTTACAACGTCTACGTAAACGTTCTTTTTCAAGGGATAAACATAAACGTGATAATAAAACACAATATTGTCGATCTTCTTCAGCTCCTCGATCTGTATATTCATACCAAAGCTCTGCAGAATTTGATATCAACCATATTGATAAGTATTCATTAACACAGATTAATAAATATAATAATTTGTTCGTTTCAAATTTGGTTTCGCAAATTTCTTTATCAAGAAGTGTTCCTGAATTACAAGACCATAGCTGTGTTGTAAGTTATTAACACGTAACTTTCATTCTGTTCCATCACTAAGCTAATTTAAATTCATACGTTATTTAAATAAGTTCCCATTGAATGTTAAGCACCCTTTTTTACATAATTATATTACTGTTAAAATGAAAAATTGTCAAATAAAAAGTTTCAAGTATTTTTCTGTTTCAAAACCTCAGTCATTAAATCACCATACACCTATATTGTTATTCGATAGGGTTAATCTAGTTGGGTAAGCGTCTAATGAGTAACAGATTTTAGTACTACTGCTTGATGTGTCGTACAGGACCGTAGTGATACACTATTTTAGAGTTTAATATGAACTTCGAAACAGTGTTTTGGAATAACGTGTATTTGTGTGGGGTCATAATCCGATAATTGCACAGTTCACAGACTTTAGACCAGCCAGTGAAGATACTGTTTTAATTTTCGATTGTTTTCTTCATAAATAGTAACTGTACCTTGAGACTATTTATCTAAATCATATTCTCGGTATTATGATATGATTTCACCTCTTTTATTTTTCCGCTTCATTATCATGTTGTTTGGTATGACGCCTTTCTAAATGCTCTATTCCACCAAGTAAACTCCTTATTAAGATAAATAAAATGATATAATTTCATAGCATAATTAATATAGTTCATTGTGCTTATAAACTTCGCGTCACAATGGCAATAATCCTTGTTTTCATCTACATTGTATTGTTATTTATTAAATCGGAAGTACATAATTCATGTTTTAGGATTTTGACGACTACGGTTATTCAACATGTTTTGAGTTTTGATAGTTTAACGTAAATGTGATCATTAAAAATCTAAGTGACTATGGGAAATTATTAAATAATACCTTTCAGTCATATATGTGTCATCTGTATTATTTAGGGTTAACAGTCTCTTAAGTAAGTAAGTGAAAACAAACTTATTCAGTTTATTTATCTTACATATATAAAAATTATACTATATGTGCTTTCATGATTAGTAGTCGCCATTGTTAATTTTTTTAACTTATATCTTACATTTAATGCTGAACGTGCTTCAACATATCTAAATGTTTTTGAAGTATGAATAGTGTTTTTTCCTTTTACTAAAGAATAAATTACATAGTCTTGTACAAATGATTTTTTTAGTCAGAATATGCTTGTATATATACATATGTAATGTCAAGAGGCTTTATTTTGTACCCTTTATCGAAGTCAGCACAAGCAGTATCTAGTTGTAAGACTGCACATTAAGTATGTATTAATCATCTAGGTTGGTAAAAAATGTCTTCAAGTTATGAATTTACTGACGTATGTTTTCAAAGTACTTAAATGTTGTTTTTTAGTCGATAGTCAATATTATTGAAATAAATAAACTTTGTTCATTAGAGAGGTTTGTGTACTTTCTAGTAGGCTGTTGGTTCGTTTTTTTAAAAAAAAGAAATTAGGTGCAGTAATTGTTGAGTAGCTTGAAAATAGCTTTCAATGATCGTATTTAGTAAGGAAGCTGAGTGAATAGATCATTTTCTTCGTAATCATCAGTTATCACACTTGCGAATGGGTTCGAATATTGTCCCGTCCCTCAAACAGGAACAGGTAGTTTTATTGGGAGGCTTTTGTACTAGCCTTTGACTTAGAGGCCTAATTCACAATGCAGTGGTACGGTGTCATGTGATTCAGTTCTATGGTGACTGATGACTAAAATCAGTTTATACACTATTCATGGGATCATGGTCTTCCAGATTCCTTAGGTGGATCCTACCTATCTCCCAACCCGGTTTAAGCACTGGAACTTCACTTTTCATCCTCTCACTTTTTAAACAATACCCGAGACTCTAGAAGGCAGTAATTAGGGCTTTCCCGGTCGAAAGAAATATATAACTCTACATACTGTGCAATTTTCAAATCGTTGATGGAAATTCTACAACCAGTCAGAAACCAGGTTTGCAAATTTAGTGCTTCAGGCTCCTTTGATTTTGTGGATTTAATAACCAATGTCAATGTATCAGGAGAAAAATCATTAGGTTAATTCGTGGTCAACCATGAGAACATTATCTTTCAAACAACAATTCATAAATGTTATTTTTCTAAGAGATATATGGATGATATCTTTCTTATCTGTGAAGAAAATATTGACCTTGATAAAATGTTACAACAGGTAAATAATTGCCACTACTCAATTACATTCACAACCGAATCGCAGTTGAATCCATTTTTTCACTGACTAACTTCGGCAGAAAATTACTTAACGTGATAAATTATTGAGAATGATTGTCTTATGTTGAGACTGTGATCAGTTTGCACTGAATCAATGGTAATCTTCAAGATGGAATGACTTAATTTGACCAATGCACATACAACCCTTCTCCATTTTCGACTGATTAAAATTAGTCTTAATCTTATTCACATTATTATTATTATTATTGTTATTATTATTATCATTATTATTAATTATTTCAATATCACTGCTAATCTTCTGAACACATGATTAATTCGGTCGCCCCTCACCCCACTTTATTATTTCTTATTGAACTCATTTAACTTTATACACTAAACAGTCTTACATTGAACATTTTTTCTGACTTGTAGTTACATTATTATTTCTGTCACTCTAATTTACCCATATTTATTATTATTATTACTATTATTATTACTATTATTATTATTATTATTATTATTATTATTATTATTATTATTATTATTATTATTAATCTCACTACTCTATTTAACGCATGGGCTCGTTCAAGTTAACGCTTCATGTTAGTCATTTAGACATTAACAATTTTGTTTTATTTTACAACAAACAGTCTTAAATTCATATGCCATAATTTTAAACAATGTAGTTGTCTTAAACCTGGTCACTTTTTAGATTAATGATTTGAATATATAACATTAGAATCTGAAGAGAATCCGTTGAAACGAACATCCTTCGTTCATGTATCAGTATTCCAAACTTGACAATCCCTCAAAAAGATGAGAAAAAAATTACAATTCAATTGGTATAGGAATAATTTTTTTGTTAGATTTAGTGAGTTGCGGTATAATGTAACTCAGCGACCAAGTACAAGATTATGCACTGGACTTTGCGTCATACTTTTCGGATGAGAGCCAGGATAAATATCAATGGAGCAATGCTACAGGAGTTTAAACATTCGACTTTTAACCATTGCACTACATAGTCAAACGCAACCTCGTCTAATTTGGTTTAGGTAATCGGCTAACATCATCAGAAGTGTAACGTAAAATCAAGAACGTAAACCTGTACCTTGTCGGTGAGTTACAAATTCTAAGAAATTTCGTATCACTAGCGGACTGCCTAAAGCATAACATATTGATGCTTTTTCGGACTGGAAAATTAATCATTCGGATTCGATTGGTTTAACCAATAACCTAACACATCACATTCGTTTAAGCAGAATTAATATCATTGCTTGTCTACGTTAAGTTTAACAAGTAGAATGAAATTAAATCTTTGGATTATTAAGAAAGGAGTAATTTACATGTCGAGTGATTGAGGTGTTGAAAAACTAGTTTATTAGTTAATGCATTCAACTTCCAGCTACTGTTTTCCAAGTGATTGTTTACCAACCTTAGTTTTTACACTTGAAGTGCTGCTCAAAGTCACCAATAAATAGACTTGTGTTTTATTACTGAGTTCCGTTGAGGCTAAGGAAATTAGTGTTACTACTCATTATTATTAATATTATGATTCTATTATAATTTTGAATATTTGCCATTTTCCTTTCTATGTAAAATTAAAAAGCCATCAGGTTATTTGGACAATGGTATGTCATATCAGTGTAATGTAAGTCCATCCGAATTGTATCCTAAATCATCATCCTATTTAACATCATGTTTTTCAATGAAATCATCTTTTCCTATTAACAATGATAAGATAAATGCTATTGCTACTACTACTAGTAATATTAACAATAATCTAATAGAATTATCGAAAATTGACAATTCATCATATACTCTTCCAATAAAAGATAAAACTCCAGTTAATCATGAATTATATTTTCAATCAAGTTATCAAACATCTATCAATGCTAATATATTACATGGTAATTTTGCTAATTCGTGTACAACATCGTCAACACCTGCAATTATGACAGATTCATCTTGTTTAGAATCTAACTCTGAATGTGTAAATATTCCAAATGCAATGAAATATTCTGACTCATTTGTGTTATTGGACAAGAGACAGCAGTATCAACCTTTGTATAATCCTTTCACCTCTTCTATATATTCAGAAGTTTGCTCCAAATGCTGTTTTACATATGATAATAATAATAATAATAGTAAGAGTACTGTGACTTCCAATAGTCCAAATCTACTCGTCAATTCCTTTAGTTATTCTTGTGAAATGAAGCATTCACCAGGATGTAAATCTAATAACTGTAAGTTCTACAATTACCTTTTTATTAAAAGAAGTGTTTTTTTTTTCATTAAAAAATTATTGGTCATATCGTCAAAATAAAAATTGGTCAAGTTTTTGTAATTTCAACCTCAATTGAGATTCCTTATGCTGATTAGACATATTTTTATTAGACCTGAGTTTTTTAATCCCATTCGATTTACTTAGCCAGACTTGGGGTCTACGAGTATATCTTTTCCAAGAAAACAGTTTTTGCAGAGTTTACCAAGTTGATAATGAGATAGAATATAGTTGAAAATCTTAACTATTAAATGTGGATCACAAAGCCTGAACTTGTTGAGTTCGATCTTGTGTAAGGTGAAGAATACTTATTCATAGACTAAAGATATTTATCTTAACATCAACACCATAAACTATCATATATATACAAATTTTGTTCATACATAGACTGAGGGTATTCATGATAATATGCATATTAATACATAAAATAGTTGTATAAAGAACTTTGCGAGGAATTTGAGATTTACGTTTATGAAAGTTTTCTTTAAAAATTACACTCAGTGGACGAAGTTTACTGATCTATGAAGAAAGAAACGAAAATGGAAAAAAGCTGCTTGGCTGAAATTTAATTTAGAGTAATTAAGTTAACATTATCAGTTAATTAAAAAATCTTGGATTTATTGTGTTGTGCATCAATGTAGCCATCCAGTGCTACCTCAATATAGATAACATTCAATCTATATTCTATTATAAGAGACACATTAGCTAATATTGTCAGTCACCGGAAACGTTGTATCTTCTGTTAGATTTTACATTATTTTATCTGTATTCTTATGTGAAATGTAATTAAATTGATATATTAGATAACTGTTTAATTTCTTTCAAATATATGAAATTTGAACTTAAGCTCCATTCATATAAGATAGGGAGCCATCTAGTTGCAGAGAAATACTATAAAATCAATATTAGCCAATGTTTTTATTTCAGATGGACAGTTGAATAGTTTGCTTTCAAAAAAATAAAAAGTAAGCTGATGAAAAATTGTTTCATTCTAATTAGCTTTCGTATAACTTCAAGTGCTCATATACATATCCTCTTAACTTATTCATTTGACTCCCATACAGATATTAATTCTTTCTGTTTTAATGAATTACTTATGACTTTGTTTCTAATTTTGACTGTTGAAAACGTCCATACTTATATGAATTACTTAAATAAATAAGATACAATATCATTTCATTTAAGCCTATTAGAACCTTTTAGGTATATGTTGTATTTTAGATTGTAGCTAACACTGGAATTCAGAAAAAGTGAGTTTCATGTAATTTCAGACATGTTAGTGTGTTATTAATGTTGTAGTTTTCACTGAGACTACATCACTGTCAAAACCAGTGGACTTATACTGTGTTTATAGATTTTCAATGTGGTTGAGGTGCATTTGTACTGAATTTTTAAATTATGAACTCATAAATAGTCAATTCTGACTATTGCATTGTTTTTCTCATTCAACGGAAATGTACTCATCCTGAAATAAATACAGATTACTAGTTTTAGAAAAACAAATTTTTTCATCAGAGTTCTTTTGTGCATATATATACATAGTAAATGGTTTCCTCAACTCATAAGCAACTCACAAACTGTTTTAAACATGCTACATTTTAACAATTACTTAGAATTTACTTGAGCTTGGTAGTATTTTAATTTAATAAAATCCGTGATTTGAATAGTGATCTACTGACTGAAATTGTGTGCCAAGTCTCAGTGTCAGTTGAATCAATCAGGAAGGTACATGGCTTTCATATGAATGTGCTGTATAAAACTAATTTCATTTCCTCACGCTAGCTGCTCATTTAAGTTTTCTCATCTGAATATAAACACAAATGACTGAATAGTAGTGAGTAAGCAGTTAAAGTACTCGGATTCGACCATTCGGTTTCAGATTAATATCTTATTTTTTCTACTTTTGTTTGGATAAGCGGGTTGTAATTTCGGGTATCATGAAAGATATAGCTCAAAGCCGATTACGGGAACCTGTACTTGGTGACTGATTTGTATGAAAAATATTGAAAACTGCGAAGTTTATTAAATAAAACGAGTGTTTGATTGATTAGAAATGAGAAAACATTGTTCGGAAATGCAATTTTCTTATACTTAGTTAATACGATGTTTGTGATTTACAATAAAGAATAACACTTTTATCGGTTAGAATAATTTTGTTTCAATTTCAAGTTTATTTGATAATAAAACAAAATATGCTTTTGTATAGAATGTAGGAAATTTTCGAAGTCGAGAATGTATACTTGAATCTATTTATTTATCCAGTTTAATTTTTACATACACTTATTGTACAGAAACACATTCATTTTACAGTTAGCTTATTCACTCAGTTGTATGCTCAAACTACTATTATGTTTGAAATTAGTTTCAATCACGTCTGTTTCACTTTAAAATTACTAACAGTTACTTAACCACTATGTCTATAGAATGAAGGTAGATTTTTTTCTTTTTGTGCATGGAAAATAGTTCAAAATTGTTTCCTCTAGAGAAGTTCGACTCATTGTTTCCCTATTTCAGTCTACCTATTTCCTGATTCATTCCCACCTGTTAATGTGTCCAGAAAAAATAAACTATAGGCTGTATAGTTTTGTTTTGTAATGATTTGTTCGATTAACGTATGTGTACATATACCATAGTTACAATGATATATTGTAAAAATCAGAACAATCTAACTGTTTTGGTCTCATTCACACTGGCACTGAATATGAAAACACTAAAAATTAATAATTTTATATGGTTTATTTTTTATTAATTTGTTTCTTACGTTCCCCATATTCCTATCTTTTAATCTGATCACCTGAATTTATAAAATCCCCTTATTATATCGGTTCAAATCAATGGTGTAATTTAGTAGCCATGCGCGACCGGCCCCAAGCAGCTGTCCCTTGGGCTCTGCGGTCACGCACCCAGGTCTTCATGACCAACACTAACCCGATTTCCTTTTCAGGTTCCTCAAGAAATACCCTTCCACGGTGTGGGCAGCCGGGAAGTGACATCAGCCCTCATACCCGTAACAGCACACGAGACCAAGTTGGTCACATTCAAATCCTTCCTATACCTCTTAATGACTCTCTTATCTCCACGACTAACCCTTCTCACGTCCCTTTATCACCTCGCCCCGCTAGTGCAAACGATTCGAGTACGCGGAACGTTATCCCTGGTCTGCTGAAATCACGCTCTAAACTACACATAGGAGCTTTCAACGTCCGAACACTGTGCCAAATAGGACAACAGGCTTCCTTAGCTAAGACTTTAGAATCTTGCTCCATCGATGTGTGCTGCGTCTCCCAAACGCGCACACAGGATCCGAGTAGTGTCATTCATTTGACCTCACCATGTCAAAGTAACGAACCAACTCGATTTACTCTCCGTGTATCTGGAAGCCCTGATGCTGCTTCCCGTGGCCTCGCTGGTGTAGGTATGGGCGGAACTAGCTCTCTTAGACTGGATCCCAGTAGACAGTCGTTTGTGCGCTGTCCGACTAAACGGAACAGTAAGGACTCGGAAAGATAGGGACACTCGTCGTCGCCTGTTCGTCGTCTCTGCCTACTCTCCCACTGACTGCAGCTCAGATGATGTAAAAGATGAGTTTTACAGAAAGCTTTCCGACCTTCCCCGAAAAGCTAGGCGTTCAGATGTAGTAATAGTGGCTGGTGACTTTAATGCTCAAATAGGTAAACTAAGCGAAAGGGAAAGACACTTGGGTGAATCTTATGGTGTCGCGGCTCAAAGAACAGATAGCGGTGACCGTCTGTTGCAGCTATGCTCAGATAACCGCCTGTTTCTTGCAAACACTAACTTTAAGCATGAGGAAAAACATCTTTTAACATGGAGACCCCCTAATTCGTCCCAACGCTGGACCCAAATAGATCACATCGCTATCAGCCACCGATGGAGGGGCTCGATAGAAGACTCGCTCATTCTGGAGAATATGCTTAGACTCAGATCATGCTCTAGTGCGAGCGCGTATTTGTCTACGTCTTGCTGGACGTAGGAAAGATGGTGCAAAGAAACCCCTTAGGGTCCTACTTAATCATATCAAGCTAAGAGTATATTTCAGGAACAACTAGAAAAACAGTTAGGCAGCCATGTAACTAATGCCCACCCCGAGGCAGCGTGGAATGACATCCGAAAAGCTGTAGAAACATCAGTGATGTCTGCAAGTACGGTAAACCATGAGGTTAGGGAGAAACACTGGATCTCAGCAGCGACTACCGCACTGATAGATGCTCGAAAACTCATTCCATCTGGCTCTGAACATAACGAAGAGCGGAGTCAGCTTAAGCGTAAGCTGACTAGAAGCTTACGCAATGATCGTGAACAGTGGTGGGTAGCGAAAGCAAGAGAGATGAAAAAGGCAGCGGCAATAGATAACAGCAGGCAACTGTTCAGACTTGTTAAGGAAACCGGTAATAGGAACCCAACTGTTAGCGAAAAAATCTCAGAGAAAGATGGACATATTATTCATTCTCAACCCAGGAGATTGGACCGATGGGCAGAATACTTTAGGGATCAGTTCAACTGGCCTTCAGCCACACTTCGGTTCCCCACGATCTCCAGTCTACCTGAATGGCAAGTTGATGTAAGTCCTCCGACTCTTTATGAAGTTGAAAAAGCTATAGGAAATCTGAAGCGTGGGAGAGCAGCAGGCCCTGACAGGTTTACCCCTGAGATTTTTAAGGATGGCGGTCCAGTATTAGCAGCGAGATTGACAGAGGTCTTAGGTAGAATCTGGGAACTGGACGTAATCCCATCTGACTGGTCTCAATCACTGATCGTGCCAGTCTATAAGAAAGGACAAAAGTCTTCTTGTGACAATCACAGAGGAATTAGTTTGACTAATATAGTGTCTAAAATATTAGCTTCAATAATACTTCGACGTCTAACCAAAGCTCGTGAAGAGCAGACTAGCGAAAACCAGGCTGGTTTTCGACCTGGACGTGGTTGTATAGATCAAATATTCAC